GACAGGGCTCCCTCCGTAACCTGCAGGCTGGGAAGGCCCTGCACCGCCCTCGGGCACAGAGCCTTCCACCCCAGGGCTAAGGCTCCCAGCCAGGGCCTCCAGAGAGAGCCCGGGAAAGGGGAGTGATCTGGGCAGACCTGGACTTTTAAAAAGCCCCACAGGCCAGGTATAAACACAGGAGAACTTCTCGCAAGAACGCTGCACCCCCAAATGCTGAAGTGTCACTGATGGTCACCAAGGGGTCTCCCTCACTAGCCCCCTCCTCAAGCCTAGAGGTCAACAAACTCCCAGCCCCAGGCCCTCACCAAACTCCTGTCCCCTCTAGCCTGTGTTGAGGGGATCATGTGGGGCCCCATGCAGACCTGAGAAGGGCAGGGGGAAGGGCGAAGTAGGCCCTCAGTGCCCTGGCCTGCATCCCACCTCAGGCTCAAATGCCATCCTGGGGGCCCTTCAGAAGTCAGGCCTGCAGGGGAGGGGGAGGCAGCAGCCTTGAGGTGGAAGGGAAGAAGGAAAAGGTTTCTCTGAAAGCTTTCTCCCTCACATACACATGTGCATACACATGTGTGCATACACACAATTACACAACCCCATACGTGCACGGGGTACTCACACACACACACACACAAGCATGTGCACACACGAACACCTATACATATTCACACGACTGACACTCACATGCGAGTGGATGGAGGTGCACACACCTCATGTGCAGTGTCCTCACACGTACTCACGAGCACGTAATGTGCACACACACAGCACGCATGCACAATCCCTCACACACGCACACACAATTGTACATTCACAGCCTACACGCACACTTTCACCTATGCACATCCACGTGGGACTGTATGTACACAGCATGCACACACACACACAAACACCCATGCATGCAGGCACACAGGCACACGTAGTGCTCCTGCTGACCAGGCGCAAGCTGCGTCCCCCTCAGCTGGCAGCATACGGTCTCCACTGCGCCACAGCCCCTGCTGCCAGCTAGGGACCATTAGGGGTGGGCGCCTTCCCAGCATCAAATGCTGCAGAATATAAATTGCAATTAACACCAGTGCCAAAACAGCACTTAGCGAAAATAAGCACATTATTAACATCTGGTGAATCCGGCTTGAGCACGGGGCGGCGGGTGGGCGGGTGGGTGGTGACTCTTGCTCTAAGGAAGAGGCTGCTGCAGGGACGAGAAGTGTGTGAGCCTGGCCCTGGGGGGGCTGCAGCCCAGCCCCCTGCCCTGGCTTGTCAGCATACCCCACACTGCTGGTCAGGACACTCCCGGGGACTGGCCACCAGGCGCTGCATGAAGAGCAGACACCGCTACCTTCCCGGTCATCCCCTGGGGAAGGCGGGCAAGGTGGGGGCCGGAAAGCCCAGGGTGAAAGAGACATGGGAGAAGGCCCAGAGGACGAGGCCGGCACGTAGGTCTGGGGCCTGCAGGACACTCCGCTCTGCTCCTGGCCCTCCTCCCCATCTAGGACAAGCTGGCCAGCCCCACCCTGAACCCCGCTGTCACCACCACGGTCTCCAGATGCCACTTGAAAGAGCTGACAGAGATGACCAGCACCCATGCCCTCATCCACCATGGACCTGGGGTGGCAGTGTCCTGGATGGTGTCAGGCCCTGGAGGGAGGGAGGACTCAGCAGGCACTTCCTCTGGCAGGGTGGGGATGACCCAAGTTCAGAAGAGAGGAAGCCTACCTCACCCGCAGTGAAAAAAGGGGCTGTAGGTCCCACCATGAGGCGAGAGGGGGCCTTCATCCCACCGGGAGAGCAGGGGTGCCAGCTCACACTCAGGTGGGGGCGCCAACCCCACAGTTCCTGTCCAGGACTCCCACCCCAGCCACATTAGCTGCAGGCACCTTTTGCTCAGGAGACCAGCATGCCCAGCTCCTTCCTGTGAGGTCAGCTCAGGCCAGCTCCCCGCAGAGAAGCGGATGGTGGTGGCAGTCAAAGGGGCATGGCCTGGTAGGCTTTCCACCCCAGACCCATTGGAACTAGCCAGTCCCCTGGGCCAGGTCCCCAGAGTCCCCATGGGGCAGGGTAGGAGCCAGGCAGTCAGGAAGGCTGCGTGAGGTGCTGCCTCGGTCGGGCCGGACACAGGCCGGTCCCTGGAATGGCACACTGCATGTCCGCAGCTTGCCAAATGTAGTGGAATGAGGAGTGGGGGGATCCAACCGCTCCCCAGACCCGGGTTTTAATCACTACTGAAGCCAAGAGTGCACACGTGTATGTGTGTGCATGGACCACGTGTGTGCATGGACAGAATTCCCTCCCCACACACACCTACACTCATGAGGGAGCCAGCAGGTCTCTAAGCAGAACACCCCAATCTCTCATGTGGCCCCTCTGGTAGGGAATGGGAACTACTCACAGGTGCACAGGCTGCCCCAGCTCTGGGTCCCCCCAAGCCCAGGGTGCCCCCAAGTCCCAGGGTCCCACTGAGCCAGCCACATATTCATCTGAAGAATGACTTGTAAGGAAGTGGCCTGAGCCACATGTACCCCCAAGGACAGGGTCTTAGCGGGCACCCAGAGCTTGAGCCTGCCCCGGAGGAGGGGGCGCCTCACCTGTCACAGGGGGCCCAATGGGTGGGGACATGGGGATGGCTCCGGAAGGGTGCACATGCACCCCAATCCCCCACAAGGTCAGGTGGTCTTGTGGAACCTGGGGTGGGGGGCAAGGACCCAGTGAGGCAACAGGCATCTCTACCCAACCCTCCCACCACCTCAGCCCAAACAGATGCCGCAGGTCCCCGTGGGGAAGCAGGAGTTACGGGGGCGGGGCGGAGCAGTGTGCAGGGACAGCCTCCCTGCTGGGATGAAGTGGGGCTCTGGGGTCTGGTGGGCCGCGGGTTCCTCTCTCCCAGCTGGGTGGTGGTGCAGCGGGTAAGTGGGGCGGTCCGCGGGCGGACCCCTCACCACCAGAGGCCGGGCGGCTCCTCAGCTACTCTGCTCTTGAAGAGGGTGACCTCATCCAGGTGGGCCAGGGGCACGTCGCGGATGACATCGGTCAGGCCCTCGTGGAGCAGTGGGAAGATGACCACGTTCAGCGCCGGCCGCTCTGCCTGGAAACTGAGCAGAGGCAGGGTCAGTAGGCCAGCCACCGACCATGGGTCCCAGGATACATAGGGGAACCCCTGCACCAGCACCCCCAGGGGCCTCTTGCATGTCCCTTGTCAGGCGGCCATGGGGGTAACTGGAGAGGAGGGCGGGGCCGCCCCACACGAGCCAGACAAGGGATGACACTCAGTGGGTAGGCTCCAGAATGTTCTCAAGCTGTGTCCACATCAATATCACCAGCCGGCTCACAAGTGGCCCTGGCCACCTAGCTTTTCAAAGTCCTGTCCCTCCCCACCTGGGGTGGTGCCCAGAAGGAAAGCTCCTGGCTGGGGGAAGCTCACACTCCCACGACCCTCCCCATCCTGGCCACCCTGCCCTTTGAGGCCCAAGGAGGTGGATTATGCCTAGAGAGGTGGCCTCCAGCTGCAGGGCCTCCCTGGGCCAGAGCCCATGGGACTGGCGTCCATGCCGACCCTGCACCTGAGTGCTGCCTCTCAAGACACCGCCGCCACTGGCCAGCGGGCAGAGGCCTCGGGCACAGTGGCCCTCGTGACGAAGTGCTGCACGGCCCCCAGGGGGCATGGCATTCCAAGCCCTGCACTGGTCTGGCCTTCACCTCCCACAAGGCCCCAGCGGTAAAGACCCTACCAAGTGCTCTACCCTATCCTCCAGGGAATCTGCGCACCGGTCGAGGGGAGGCCCTGGCAGCCCCCACGGACAGGCCCAGAAGACACCAGATCCCTAGCGACTCTCGTCACACGAGAAACTTCCAGTCTTCAGGTCTCACAGGGGGTGAGAGATTGCATCTTGGTCCAGGCAGCCTGGTGGGCTGGACCTGGCTGGGGTCCCTGCCACCGCAGGCAATGTGCCGGGACGCGGTCTGGGTTTATGGAGTTCATAAAACCTGACAGTTGGGCAATAAAGACACCGAAGACTGGCCTGCCTGGGTCCTGGGCACTCACTCTGGCCAGCAGCTGCATCTCTGATGCGAAGGCCTTGAGGCAGCAATGTGGTGGACGGGTCCTGGCCTGCACGTCCCCCTGTGACTGACTGTCTGGAAACAGGATCCTCCAGGGGTGTGAATGCCAGGTGCCCACCACCCCTCCCAGGGGGCTCACCTCCGCTCCAGAGCTGCCTTCAGGATGGGGGGGCAAGGGGGTTGGGATGAGTTAAAACTAAAGAAAAGAATGCGCCCCACCCGGCCCTGGCTGCCCAGGTGCACACAGGCCCACCCCAGGCTGCATCTACAGGCTCACCTGGCTCAACCCTCATCAGCCTCGACCCCTTTTCTCCTCCCTAGTGTCCGAGAAACCTAGAAGACAAGCTACCGCCCGCCCGGAAGAGACCCAAATCCATGTCCATTCCCAAGAAGGGACACCCGCTGCACTGCAGAAATGGTGAAGCAAAGCCACAGCTGTGGCATGCAAGTAAAACGCTGCCGGAAACAATTCCAAAAAGGTTGCAGCGTTACGTGGGCGTGGAGCTGCCAGAAGTTCAGGCGGGATTCAGAAGAGGACGGAGCACCTGGGCTATCACGGCTGACGTCAGCCACATCTTGGCTGAAAGCTGAGAGTACCAGAAAGATGTCTACTTGCATCTTACGGACTATGCCAAGGCATTTGGCTCTGGGGGTCGCGACCCACAATGGACAACCTTGAGAAGAACGGGGACTCCAGCACACCCCCTGCGCTCACGCAGCAGCTGCACGCAGACCAGCAGGCTGCTGTTGGGACGGGGCACGGCTGCCGATCAGGAAAGGTGAGTGTTGGGTTGTGTTCTCTCAGAACACTTATGCAGTGCGTGCTTAACACGTAAGCCCAGAGGCTGTGAGAAGAACACGCATTAAGATCGGAGGACTCATTAGCCACCTGTGCGATGCAGACGATACCACCTTGCTTACGGGAAAGGGAGGAGGCCTGACGCTCTTGCAAAGCTGTCACGCGGAGGGTTGCTGTGTTCCACCTCCTCCCCTGCGTGTAAACACAGGGCAGTGAACGAGGACGTCCCGTGAAGAACTGCTGCCCCTGAATCAAGGTGCTGGCAGCATGTCCAATAGGTCATGGGTCTTTGAAGAAGCACACCCAGGGTGCTCTTTAGAAGTGACGATGGCGAGACTAGTCTCAGGTGTTTTGGACACACCACCAACAGGGACCAAAATCCCGTCGTCGAAGGGGACACCAAGGTCAACTGGCCGGCACCACTCATAAAGACGACACCCTGCACCCCACTTCACTGAGTGGTAGTCGTGAATGTCCATCTCTGGCGCCGGTACTGGTCTCTCCCCATCGAGATGGAGAAAAGGTAACGGCCACAGAAAGACGCATGGAAACAACGGGGCTAGAGGACCCACGGGCCACGTGAGCAGCAACCTCCACAACTGAGGCCAGCAGGGCTTGAGGGTGCCCAGCGACCACACTAACCCTTCCACAAAGACTCACGCTGGACCGTCCTGGAGAGCGTGGGGGAAAATCCTGAGACCAGGCTTACTGGTCAGGGAGAGACAGGGGGACCCCAAGACAATAGGGCCCTTAGTCTCCTTTCAGATCCCAAACGGAACTCACCCCCTTGTTAGAACAGTCAAGGTCAGGGGTCCTCACACTTTTTAAACAGGGGGCCAGTTCACTGTCCCTCAGACCTGTTGGAGGGCCAGACTGTAGTTTAAAAAAATACTATGAAAACATTCTATGCACACTGCACATATCTTATTTTGAAGTGAAAAATATAAACAGGGCATGTGGCCCTCTGGCCGTAATTTGAGGACGCCTGGTCAAGGTCAACAGGGCAACCTTTGCCCAGCAGACTGGTGGGGGGGGTTCAGGGCACAGGAGACACAGGCAGTGGGGGCACATTGAGGGGACTGGCAAGGGAGGAGGTGGAACGAGTGGTGGATGAATTGGAGAACATCAAAACTGACGGTTTGCTCTGAAGCCTTCATTCACAATCAAGAATTTTAAAAAGATACGGAGGGAGCAGTCCCTGGAGGAGGACATCTTGTTTGGACAGCGGAAAAGAGGACGGCCCTCGGGGAGATGGGCTGGCCCAGGAGGTGCCACCCCGGGCTCAGGGACAACACTGGCAGGGACAACAGCAGTAGTGAGTCAGCGCAGGGTGGAGTGGGCTTTGTTTAGTACCTGTGAGTCAGCACCCATTGGGCTGCACCACCCACGTCTCAGCTAGGTTGACACCCCTTGCCCAGAGGGAAGGCCTGGGGCCCCAAACCAGCCAAAGAGGGGAACACCCTGCTTCCAGCTGCAGGCAGGGCCCTGGAGCATGGTGGGCACTGGCTCCTCAGTCGTCCACAGATGGTTTTCAAAAGTGTGTTGAGGAGAGGGGCGATGCCATCCCTGCTTTCCTGCCTAGACCCCGTGGCCTGATGTACCCCTCCCAGGCATTTTCTGGGTCCCTGTGCTGTCACTTCTGGTGGCCACCAGCCCTGCCACCAGCCTGGTCACACTGAGCAGTGTGCCTGCTCTGACATAATTCAGGGCTCCCTCTTTTCCATGATGGTACCCACAAACATCTCTGCACCGGCACAGCTGTTTCCCAGGGGGATGGCCTGTCTCCTCAGACTGCATTTCAGAAGCAGGGTCACATGGTCAAAGAAAACCCATGACAAACGGCAACTTCAGGGGCCATGGGGAGACACCAGCTAATTAGTCTATGCCAAGGGGGGGGTTCAGGGCTGGAGAAGGAGAGGAGCAGGAGGCACTCCTCACCATTGACACTTCCCTGGTGCCACCCGTGCACATCATGCTCGATGGGACCCTCCGTGAGCCTCAGAAAGATCTGACCGGGAGCCAGGGGGCAGGACTCCCTGCCCACCTGCCTTCAGGATGTGACCTAGGACAAGGAGGAGGCGGAGGGCACTAGTCCCCACAGGCTGGAGCCAGGGAGGTGACACGTGTTCACTCCGCTCCGAGGCAGCCTCAGACGTGGGCAGTGCAGGCCCCACCACGGGGAGGGAGCAAGGCCCCGCCCAGAGTTGTGGTGTGGGGTGTGTGTGTGTGTGTGTGTGTGTCCGGTGAGGTTCCAGGTGGGGAAACAGCTCACACACTGTCAGGGAACCTGACAGCGGGTCCCTTCCTGGAGGCCACTCAGCACCATGCGCCGGTTCAAATCCCCCACGTCTTTGGCGGTGAGATGGCGCCCTGGGTGGTAAAAAGGGTTTGGGGCCAAGAAAAGCCCACGGGGACGGGCAGCTGCTCGGCCACAGCACCCCGGCGGGGACGAGAACAAGAGCACTCACATGCAGTGACGGGGACTCAGCGTTCGCTCTTCTCCAGTGGGGGGGGGGGCACAGCTCTGCTCTGTAACCCACCACCCTGTCACTAGCCGCCGGCATCGAGTCCCTGGTAAAGGTTGGTTTGGGTTTGGGTTAGGGTTTGAATTGTACCTCCGCCCCCAAAGAGAGACGCTGAACAATGTAAGCACTGTCCCTGGGAGTTCCACCCGGTTCAGAGACACGACCTTGGACAGTGTTGCTAACAGGGGCCGTCCAGAAAGTTGAGACTCACAGTGACCTTGCGTCCAACTGCAGGAAGCACTGCCAGGGGCCGCGCCGTCCTCACAAAGGTTCCTATGTTTGAGCCCATCGTCCATCTCGTTGAGGGGGGGTTCTGTCTGTCTCGCTGCCCCTCTGGCTTTACTGAGCAGGTTTTACAATGCTGAGAGGTGGGGGCCTATCCCTACAGGGCCCCGGGACTTCAGTCCCCGCACTGCGGGTAGATAATTCCCGCATTCAGTTGGCTTGCCTCTCTGAAATGGTTCAGCGATGGCGCTCCTCCAGCCAACTGGCCAGGGAGCTGTCTTCCAGTTTTCTTGGCACAGACCGGGGAGTGCTTCCAGTGCCGTGTCTGTCTGTCCAAGCACCCCACTTGGTGTTCCATCAGTTCCGGGGCCTCATTCTTCATGCTTGCATTCAGTGCGGCTTGGACCTCTTCCTTCGGTGCCCCTGGTGTTTGATCACACGCCACCCCCGCACACGGGCCTTTGGGGTGGTGACTCTGCACCCC